TCTCTCTCTCTTTCTCTCCCTCTCTTCCTCTCTTTTTTATTCTGTCCCTGTCCCTGTCTCTGTCTCTGTTTCTGTCCCTGTCCCTGTCTGTCTCTGTTTCTGTCTCTGTCTCTCCCGCTCCCCCTCTCTCCCCACTTCTCCTCCACAGACCTTTTTGACATACATGATTTGACAATCAGTTCAAGAAAAATGGGTGCCATGTTTCAGTATTACAGCTAACTATAATAAGGCTTTGCTTTGTTCTTTTACTGAAAAGTGAATATCATATTGCCACAGTCTAGATTTTGTCATATTGGAAAAAGACAGAGCTTTTTGGAAGCTGAAGTGCTTGGTAAAATAATCCATCCTCCCAGGTGCTGGAGCACGAACGTGACAAGGATGGGGACTCTGTATGGGACATTCATACCTTGCGTCATCGAAGAAAACTCCATCCATTTGTCGCATATACGAGTAAATGATGTAGTTGTATAGAATGTAGCAAGCTTTGGTAATGCAGTCACACAAATCAGATTTGACATCCATGGGGGTGATGGAAAATTCTCCTTTTATTTGCCAGAATTCCGAAAGCACACTTAATCATTGGTCTTGTGCAGGTGAGGCGCTAATTGAAAATTCTCTTCGTTTGTGTTAGTATCTTTCTTTCTACCGTAAGGACATAGGAAGTTTTCTGGAAGTGGAAATGCTTCATCCCTGATCCGTACAAATTGCAATTGCAGACCATCAACATCACCTGGCAATTGCACTTTTGCGGGTAGCTTTAAGTGATTCGTCTCCATTCTCTGACCAAAGTTTGAGTTATTGAAAGCATAAGAGTGACTGCAATTTCCGTATGAACCAATGTCAACTGATAGAGAGAGTGGTTTGCTTATACAACACCCAAGGGCACAATCGAAAAGACATTCTTACTACTGTAAAACAGCGAACCATTACTGTTTGGCTGTCAAATTCGAATGTGCTTTCCGCCGATAGCACATTCACAGTTTAGAAACTGACTTCTTGTTAAACTCATTGGCAGTTTCAACCATGCATCTTTGTCCATTTCTGGAAGGTGAATTGGTATATGACATGCCCATAGTTTCTCAGATACGTCCCTGATGATTTCACAATTATTTGTTTCAAGGCTAAGGCGATAATCGTAGTGAAGAGGTACCATACTACACCCGGTTGCTGATAAATATCTGAAATTTAAGAGGATTCAATAATGTTGCCGTTTCAATGCATTGCTATAATATGTGTATCAAATGTTCGAGATAAATCTGCGTAGCTACATTATGCGGTGTTTGCATTTAGTTTCAGGAAGAGAAATTAAGCACAGATGGACCAATTCACGCAACTGCGTTCTTCGACAACTAAAATCGCGGACGAGATGTGCTTCAGGACAGACAGTAGGATCCCACCAGTTCTGATAGTCTCAAGAAAAGGGCAATCTCTTATGAACAATCATTATTTGATATCTTAAAAAGAAAAAAAAACCTCCATGATAATAAAGATAAGATTGACGAGGACAAAAGTTTCTTACAGAGTCTCTTACCAGCGTAGAATTTGAGATTGAAGGTGGTTGGAGCTACCAGGTATCAGCGGTATATTAGCAAGAAAATGTCTACCAAACTTTGCGGACTCCGAAGGCTTGAGTGTCCTTGAAAACTGCAATATATACCAATTGTGTACCTTTGGTCAATATTTTTCTGAAACATTTATACAGAAATGTGTTTTTAAATAGACCTAAAACGTGTTGAGGAAAAAAAAGGCTAACGACCCAAAAAATTCCGGTTTCCTCAATTTCAATATTTTGACGAGCACTTGATTTCAGCATGATGCCTCACTTACTCAGAGTCATTTTGTGCACTCCATCATCTCAGTTTTGTTATGTTTAAAAAGAAACTGCATTAAATAAATGGTCACCCATAAAACCAACAACTCAATAATCAATCAGAAATGACTGAATGAAGGAGTGGGTGATTGGGTGAGCGAGCGAGTGTGTAAGTGAACGATTGTATCACGCAGAGGCCTAGTTTGAATTTAATTTTCACCCTTTATCGATTAGTAAATCAGTTGTGCGAGATTAGGTCTTGTTAAGATCGTTGGTTGCATTAAATCGTATTCAGACAGTTTGTATATTGATGTACATTTGTTCATGGAAGCTATTTCTGGGGAAAAAAACAACACACACACGGATTTGATTGATTCTTCTTTGCGTGTGTGTGTGTGTGTG